GAGGGCATTTTTCATGCCCTGGCTTTGGTGAGGGCAGTAAAAAGAGCAAGGAGACCAGGGTGAGGGGAGGAGAGACGAAGGGTGGAGACAGGAGGGGGACAGGGGGCAGGCTGCTAACAAGGACTGGTGGAGAGGCCGGGCCCCGAAAAAGACTCGTAAATAGAGGTACCAATAAATTCAAAAGCCCTTCTTTCATTTGAAGGCTGTGAAATCGCAAGCAGGCCCTTCCCTAATTAAATTTCACGCCTGGGCTTTGTCATGTGACCTCGTACCTTCTGTCCCAGCAGTACTGTGCACCAGAAGGGGTGGGCGAGAAGGGAGTGTGTGTGTGTGTGTGTGTGTGTGTGTGTGATCAGGCTCTCTAAATGGGGTGTTTTGTTTGCATCTCCGTCCCCTCAAGAAAAATACAGCACTACGAGGCGCCCACACTCTCAAACCACTCCGAACCAGAACTGCAGGCGGACTCGCAGATTCTCGATTCTCTGCCAGCGCCAACCTCTCTTTACCCCCACCCCACCTCCTCCCTCTCCCTGCCACCATCCCACCACCAAGAATGAGATCAAGGAAGGCAGACCCCATGAATTAATCACTGTCCCCTTGACCGTGAAAAAGGAGATGTCATTAGCCTGCTCATTAATAGTATGAAATGAGCAATAAGAAGACTTGGGGAGGGGCCAGCACTGAGGGGTGTGGGTGGGGGGAGAGGGGGAGAGAGAAACTTTGGAGAAAGAAAGAAAAAAAAAAGGCTGCGGTGATAATCTTCTATCCATCTGTGTCTCATTAGCATTTAGCGCGCCTGCAGTTGCCAATCAACTCTAAAAAGGCCCTTTCTAGTGGCTTTTCAATGGCGAAATGTAAGCCCTGTTAGAATGACACGTAAAAGACTTGACAAATATTTTCGGACGAGGGCTTTGTCCCAAACCTCCCTCGACTTTCTTCGCTGGCAGAGCACGCAGATACCACTAGGCTATTAAAGCAACAAAGCCTCTTATCCTCCAAATAGTTAATAATTAGATTAAAACTTCAAATAAATTAACTGGCAGTGTGAATGAGGCTGCCGGGGGTAGGCTCTTTCTTCACCGTCTTGGGGTCTATTAATATGGATCACAGGGATTTTTCTCTCTTCATTTCTTGCAGCAGGCCAACACGGCACACAATGGGGCAGTAGACACAGTTGTAGGAAAAATTACAGATTTACTTTTTTTTATTATGATGTGCGATCGCGAAGAAAAAGTCTCGCGGAAAAAAAGGCTCACGGTTTAAGGGAGATTTTAATACTTCTTAAAATTCTTTTTACTTGCCTAAAAACGGGCTGCATTAAAAGAGAGAGAGAGAGAGAGAGAGCGCGAGGGAGAAACGGGGATGAAGAGAAAGAAAATAAACAGTGGTGGGAATTTTTTTGCGCTCTTTGTGGCCTTTTTGCGACACGTTGGTTTTTGTCATCGGTGCACAATTGCGTTCGCTTTGAGATGATTTAAATCCCCACTGCGTAGATTCAGAAAGACTCTTGAACCGGGTCGATTAACCGCATTTTTTTTTTTGTGCTCAACAGCTATGAGCTCACAGGCCAAGTTAAAAATTCGGAGACATTCAAAATCCCGAAGAAATAAGATTACTGCTCGATCCTTTCTGTTAAACACAATCACACAACTACCTACATGGCAACACCGTTTCTTTTTTAGGCATGCTTGTGTGGGTCAGATTTTAGCAACCATGCTGTACAACAATTATTGTCAACACTTCACTAAACCTATCCCGGCCCCTGGGTCTCTGTCCCCGAGACAAGCATCCGAGCTGAGACCCCAAAGCAAAGACTATTTTAGACCCACTGGGTAACAGGCCACCTTGGTCGGCCAACATCAGACCTTGATGGAAGGAAATCACAGTACTTTGCCTAAGGCCAGGATTTCCTCTGCTAACATGCGTGGGACTTTTTTTTTCCACATTTCCACCATAGCTAGGGGGCCTAGCACTCATTTCCAGAATGCGGAGATCAAAGTGGGTGATCCAGTATTTTCTGAACGTGGGTGGTCACAACAAAATAAAGTTTAGCCTTGTGGCACCTCAGCGCGTTTATTATATTAGAACGATCACCGATAAGACTATGTGCCACGTGAATACTGACGTCACAAGGGTCGTGAAAGGACATCATGGGAAAGAAAGGGATACCTGTGGGAAATCCAAATTTCTTTGGATTTGCAAAAGGGTTTCAGATTCACTTGCTTAGAAACTGAAAGTTTGTGTCCTTTATCAGTGCAGAAACAGGAACCTGAAGATTGTGAAGCCCCCACAAAAACACTACAGTAGATCACGTCATTCTCCATGCAGACAGATCTTCAGAACAAACAGCAAGGTTGATTCAATCCTGGTGAAAGCACTGCAGAGCATAACGTAAAAACTGTGAAAGCAAGGTAGGTGAGTGGCAAGACTTTAAAAAAAAATCAAAGCTAAAAACACTGGGGCCCTGGGTTCAAGCCCAGACCTGGGATGCCATCTGCGTGCAGTTTCTATGGTCTGTCCGTGTTCGTGTGGGATTTTTCTGGGTGCTCCAGTTTCCTCCACAGTCCAGAAACACACTGGTAGGTTAATTGGCTTCCTGGCACATTGGCCCTGGCGTGAGTGTGTGTGCCCCGTGATATACAGGCATGCCATCCAGAGGGTATCCTGACATGTGCCCACTCAGTGCCAGGACGGGCTCTGGCTCCACCGCGCCCCTGAACTGGTGGAAATGCATGGATGGAAAAACGTGCCGCGGTCCATTTTTAGAGATCCCGTGAGCTGCCGTGAACGGGCAATGGGTCCCATCTGAAATAGGTGGGGATGAATGACCTGATCTCTCACAAACCTGACACCTGGACTGACCTTTTGCAAACTCAATCTCGAGCACATCCGGAGAGTCCGGACTCTCCGCTGGGTTTTTCGTCATTTGGTAGAGGTCGTCTGGAGCATGGTTCTGCAAGCCAGAAAGCAGGGGGAAAAAAAAGAAAAAGAAAGACAGTCAGACACATACAGACAAGACGGCCGGCAATGTGCTTCAGCAGGCACTTCTTAAACATCTTGACATTTTATCCAGTATGAAGCCGAACTGGCAGGCGCAGGCAGAGGATGAGGGGGGGGGCAACAGCAGAAAATGAAGAAAAGAAAAGGAGCAAGTTGGAAATCAAAAGAAAAAAAAAACCTTTAAAAAAAAGCTCATCAAGGAGTGACAGAAAAAGCAATGTGCCATTTTTTCTCCTCTAGTTGGTTTCATTTCCCCTTTTGACCACCTCCCAGCTGGGGGTGGAACAGTGCGGATCAAGGCAGTCAGCCGTGCGCAAACGGAGAAGTTCCTGGGGGCCGGACGATCGCTCTGACCAGCAGGGGAAAAAAAAACCCCGAATCCCGCGGGGGAGTCGAACCGTGCTCCGCCGAGGTTGCACACGCCTGACCACCACGGAATATACAGTGTACTGTGACAGCCACACAGGATGTGTTACTGTACAGATCTAACTACGAATCTGTAGATGTCTGTGTGGGGTTAGAAAGTCCTGGAATACCCGAGAAGATGGCAATATTATAACATTTACTATTTACCATATGCATTTTTGGGGGGCATTTTATTTTAATGAATGTACTGTAGCTTACTTATGGATGCCCACTGCTGAACAGAATTTGCTGCATCTTCTCTGCGAGCACACAACAGAGCTCCCTCCACACCGGACAGAATGGGTGACCTCAGCCCTTTCAGCTCAGCTCAGGGCCTTTCAGCTTCTGCTCATCTACAGTTTTCATTTCACATTTGGCAAAGTCTTGTGGAAGATTGTTTGGAGCTTCGTTATACTGAATCAAGCCATCCTGACACACAGTACGAATCCTACACCTGTAGTAAGGCACCCAGAACCCAGAATCGGGGTTTTTAAATCTCACCTACTGTAGGTTTTCATTGACCTTCAATTCCTAATCCCTTTCTTTGAATTTCACATCTATAAATGGTTTTCTGTTTAAGAATTAAATCGACTGTCTGAAGCAGACAAATACAGCCATACTGATTGAGTACCCCAGATTTGCATGTCTTACCGATCTTAATCAAGAAACTGTAAATGTTCCCAAATGCTCCCTTGCAAAATAAATCATTTTAAATACTGCTGCTGAGCTATGCGGTACTTTTTAGCACAATGACTTGACCTCCGGGCTCTGTTAGGATGTGTGTTAGGCTGAATCAGTCCTCAACATTAATCTTACACCTTGCCACATGGCACCAGAGAACACACTGGCTTCAAAACCAATGCATATCAATAAATATAAATTCATAAATAGCCATTTTTTTTCCTATATCTTTGTTATTAAAATTCGTTTCTAGCCACCAATTTTCCTTTGCAGTTCGTGGACAAAACAGTGGTTCTGGATCTCATTCCCCCCACCATCTGATCCCAGTTTCCTTCTTTTCGCTTGAAGAAGAAGCCACGCTTCTCCGAAGCTTGCTCTTTTTCCTCGGGAAAAGCCAACAATTCGGCTAAAAACCCCCCCCTGAGTTGACAACACGCAGTTTCCTCATCACGGACACATTTCCACCCTGGGCTGGAGCCTCCCGTTCCAATCGCGAAATGGGAGTCATAAACACAACCTGCTCCAGTTAACAGCAGCCCTGCCAATTACAGTGGCATTAAGAGCAAATCGCCGCCAATGTTTCCTGAGCTGAGTCAAATTGCAGAGGAACTATGCAAAATAACCACCGAGCGCATTTAAATGGAAACCTTTACCAGACAAATCACGATACAATAACTAATCCCTTGCTTGCATATATCCAAAGGCCTCATCTTTTCTTTCCTTTTAACTAAGCACTGAAATTGACTTTGAGTTTCTTTCGTTTCCGCCTCGGCGCCTGCCTGCAAACAAATGAAACGAGAGCAGGACAAATAATAAGTCCCCGGGGCCTGCCGGCCGCACTTCTTGATTACATCGATAGCTAATGCCTGCTCCGCCGCCGAACATCGTTTTATGTATTTATGGAAAGGGGAGCGAGGTGAATTTAAAAACGAACAAAAAAAAAAAAATCACAGTCTTGCTGGGTGAGGCGAGTTAAAACAACCGCCATCTTTCCTGGCTCTCCCTTTCCCATTTTTCGCTGCAATAAATCATCGCCTGACCCCACGCAGGCCCCGGCACCCAGACTCGTGAAGGGTTTGGAGGGGAGGGAAAAGAGAGTTCTGCTCTTCTAAAGCGACCTTCCTATGGACCGTTCCCTCAATTTGTAAACAAGCGGCTCATTACAGAACGCGCTGAGTTAGCTAAAGAGCAAAAACCCCAAATGGGTCTTAAAACTTGCCGAGGTTTTTCCCCCACTCTTACCTATAGTTTGGATGGGTTGAACAGCTATTTAACATGTAAAACGTTTGGTTTCACATCATTTTGTAGACACTCCTATCCCTTAGGCTCCTAAGTCTTTAAGCAAGACCACAGTTTAGCCTCACTGTCTGCCAGGATGGTTCAGGTCACTAAGGCCTCCCAATTCATTTTTTTCCCCCAACAAGAAAAAAAACCCACTCACAAAAAGGAGGAAAAAGTCATGTGTAACACACACACACAC